AAGGGCCAGGTTAGAGATTATACTTCTAAGAAAGCTAAAGTATACTTACTGACCTGAGGAAGACAAATAAACAAGACCATGACAATGAGACACTGCTATTTAACATACAGTGAAAATCTGCAGCCTGCTCAACTGAAAAGTAAAAAAGACTCCCACTTTTGCTCTTTTTGGCCATTTCACACAAAGCACATTTTACTGCCATTTAAAAGGAAAATGCAAGGGGCTTCAAAAAGTTCATGGAGTCCGTGTTCTAGCTCCCAAGAGAAATAAGAACACGTTAACATATTTGCATATGATTAAGAAACCTGGAAGGCCAGGATTCTGGGTGGAAGGAGGTCTTCACATTTGTGAGTTGGAGAGGAGTCCCAGTCATTCCCGTCTAAGAATCCTCCCACAATAGCCTCCCGTAACAGTCACCTCTTACAAGGGCGTGGGTGATCACTATGCGGCCGGCAGCTTTGTCTGTAGGGGTAGACATGTTTCTTTTGTTCTCTCTGCTCAAGGGGCAGTTGACTCCCCTCTAACTTCCCTCTGCCTGCTCCCAATGCTAGTATTCAGTTTCTCTCCCAATGAGCTCAGGGACTCACTCCTTATCCAGGAGTAACTGCGCCAAGGTACTCAGGATACACTGCCGGTCTTGAGGCGTCCACACCTGAGACAAAGCTCGAGGGTTAAGATCCTGCCCACCTTGTTACATAAGTAATTAATGAGGTCTGCATGTCCTGAGACTACATAAACACATTGTTAAATACATTTGTGCGCTCTCGTTCTCTCTCACTCACTCTCTATGACTTCCTGGAGGAGATGAACACCCAAAACTTTTTGTCTATTTATTCCTTTCAATAACACAACTGCTCCTTAGGACCCTATTGGCTGTGGGAGCTGGTTCCCACAGAGTAGAGTGATGTGGATTAGAATAGAAAAGAATGGAGAGTGGACGTATGTCTGACCTCTGCCTCATAGGAATCCACCTTGAGCACCTGTGGAGCAGGATTCGCTTTCTCCCTATTGAAGCCATAAAAAAACCGGATATGGCCCCATGCCACTTCCTCGACCATATGTTAGAATCCAGTTCTAACACAGTTCCTTACCACACTGATTTGGGTAGTTTTACAGAACACTGAATGGGGCACCATTGCCGTTAGCTGCTATGGAACTGGCCCACTGCTCATTGAGACCCTGTGCCGCATGGAATGAAACACTACCCAGACCTGCACCATTCATACAGTTCTCTCTGGTCTCTTTTCAAAAGCAGATCGCCAGCCCTTTCTTCTCAGCCCATCTTATTTGGAAGTGAAGCTGAAATCTGTTCAGCAGCACAGCAGCATACGAGCTTCTACTACTGCCGTGTGATAGCTATATACTAGGTTCTTGCCAGGACGTGAACCTAAGTACCCCACTTAGAGTGAGAATTCTACCACTGAACCAACATTGGCCCCTGGAAGAGGCATGTCTCCTGCTTTATGGGTCTACCAATGAGCCGGAATTGACCCAGAGGGTTTCCAAAGCTGTCAATCGAGCCACATCTTTCATGAGCAGTGCAGCTGATTGGTCTAAACACCAACCCTGTAGTTAGCAGCTTCACCAATGTGCCACCAGGTCACGGAGGAAGACACTAGGAGCTCTTCTAATCCACCCTTTCAGCTGCTCCAGCAAAGGTGAGATCTCATCCACCTGAAGGAGTGCTGTAATTGCCTAAGCTAAAACGCAGCTAATTCTGCCTGATATGCATGCCTCTCCCCCCCACCAGAGAGTACAATCTTTGAAGACAAGCATGAGAGCCAGGCCATCCCGCCAGCTCTTAGAAGATGGCCAAGACTCAGAAGAAACCTATAAGCTCACTGAACTAACTTAGGAAATGGGTTCTGCTGAGATGATTTTAATAGACAAGTCCTACTGTACGTATTTTCCTCGCCCTTCCTCAGTTCAGACTCCTCCTGACTTCCTGGAATAGAGCAGTTGTCATCACCTCAGGGAGAACACAAAGACTAAAATGACTACTCACGGGAGGACCTCAGGATGGTTACCAATGAGCTTGCTCATGGACACACAGAGCCGTTCATGGAGATCATGGTTGACTTGGCCCCCAGCTTTAATGGCTTCAGCATTCCTTTCCAGCAAATCCAAAAGGAGGGGACGCAGTTGGCGAGCCACCAGCACTGTGCAGTCCTTATCCAGGAGTAACTGCGCCAAGGTACTCAGGATGCACTGCCGGTCTTGAGGCGTCCACACCTGACAAAGTGAAACAAAGTATGTAATCCACACCTGTCTAACCCCCTGCAGAAGAGGAGAGGCCTAACAACATTAAAATACATCATTCTGATGAGTTTGCATGGAGATTTTGTTGTTTTTCTAACAGACTTGCACTTTATTTATTGTAAAAACTGTTAAAATCCCTCAGGCCACCAGAGGTAAAGGGGCAGACACTTTGGGTCCATGTAAAACACTACACAGTTTCCCTGAAAAAATAATCTGCTTCCAGCCCTGACCTCTCCAGGAATTCTGAAAAGTTACCATGAGTATATGAAATCGCTGCTCTCGAGGAGAAGCTAGAAGAAATTAATTACTGGAAGTAAATTACGACTGGGCAATCAAGACTTCAGACACTAACCAACACAGAAGAGCCAAAGCAGGACCCACACTTCAGTATGCAAGGTGAGACGGACCACAGAATTCTAGGGCCTGAGCTCAAATAGGAAAAAGCCAAGTGTGTGCCACGCCTTCAACTACGAGTATAAATCTGCACAGCTTACAGGGTCAAACAACTAAAGGAAGGCATTGTTCTGGAATTTGTTTTTCTCCCCATTCACTCTTAGTTTTATTTTACCTCCCATTTACTAAAATATAAAGGGAACAACTCTCTTTTTATGAGGGAAGACAGGTGGTTAATTAGTTTATGTTCAATATCTGCTTTTGTCATTTCAAAAAGCATACTATATACAATTAGACTATAAAACATTTTCAATCATACGTGTAAGTAAAATTATTAAATGCCCATACTTCATTTTGGGACATTTAGTTTCAACTTTTCTTCCACAGTAAAAACATTTTAAGATTTCGGTTGTGAATAACTAATAGTTATATTTTAGGTTTGAACCTTTCTATTTCCCCCAGTATTGAGTAAACACACAATTACAAAAGAAAACTAGAAACAAGGGCAGGGGTAAAGGCTATCAGTACTCTAAACATTGCATACCCAGCTGTTGCTTTGTTGTTAGTGCACAGCCTTTTCTCAGGACAATGACAGCAATTTAAAGTTCCCAATGTTATGTTACAAATTTGCCCTAAGGAGTTTCATACTGAAGGGGTATCCAGAAAGCACCTAAAAACCAAACCAAAGTAGGAGGGTTAAGTCAAAAAGGGTGGGAAGAATACTAGAGTTCTAGTCACCATTGACTCAATGGCAGTGAGTTTGGAGTTTGGGTGATTCTAGCATTTTATAAAAATAGAATTAAATTGCATATACTTTTTTGCCAGGCTTCTTTTGCTCAGTGCAATGCTTCTGACATTAGTCATTTAGTTGTCTGCATGTATGTATAACTTGTTCCATTTGATCATTTATCAGGGTAGCATTTCACTGTACATCCATTTACTTGCTGATGGATAGCTTGACTGTTCCAGCTATCATCAATAAAATATGTGGGCATAGGCTGGTGTGCTTCTTCCATGTGGCTTTGTTGCTTCTGAGCTAGATGGCCTCAAACATACTCTTTTCTAACCGAGGAAGTTAATGCTATAAATTTCCCTTCAAATACGTTAGCTGTATTCCTCAAATTGTGATGTGCTGTTTTTATTATCTGTCAGTTTAAAATGTTGTCTGAGTTCCCTTAAGTTTTCTTCTTTTTGCACAGATTTTCAGAGATTCGCCCACGTGTTTTTTTGTTTGTTTGGGAATTCTTCCCCCCCCCCTAATTTAATATTCACTGGGACATAAACTAGGGAAAGATAAGGCTTTCTAAGACTGTAAAGAATTACTGTCTTGTAAACTCATGGGGCAGTTCTACCCTGCCCTATAGGATCACTCTAAGTTGGCACTGACTTGGTGGTGGTTGGTGGTTAGAGACAGAGAATATAATTTGTATGACTTCAACTTTCTTAAATTGAGACTTGCTTCATGACCTAGCTTATAGCCTATCTTAGTGAAATCTGCATGTGTCCTTGGTAAGAATATGTATTCCACACCTATTGTATACCAAGCCCATTGTCCAGTAAATTCCAACTAGAGGGTGAAGTAGAATTACTACCCTCATACAGTTTTCCAAGGCTGTAATTTTTTTTAAGTCATTTCACTGGGGGCTCATATAGTTCTTATCACAATCCATCCATCCATCCATTGTGTCAAGCACATTTGTACATTTGTTGCCAGCATCATTTTCAAAACATTTTCTTTCTTCTTGAGACCTTGGTATCAGCTCCTCATTTTTCCCTTCCCTCTCCCACTTTACCTCCCTCACGAATCCTTGATAATTTATATATTTTTTTCATGTCTTCTAATTTTTATAAAAGCAAATAACCTCGCCCCTCTCCTGTGGAAAGGCTAGTAGGTTCAAACTACCAACCTTGCAAATATCAGTCCAGTGTCTAAACCATAAAACTATCGGGGTTCGCTCTACTGGATACCAACCGATTGCATTCACAATAAGCCTAGAGAACTGAGTAGAATTCCTACTTTTAATTTCCAAGACTGTAAACATCTTAATAGTTTTATTGGCATATACTTCACATATCATACAATTAAACCTTTCAACCATATCACCACAATCAATTTCAACAAAACATTTTCTTCTTGTACTCCTTGTTTGCTTCCCACATCCCCCATACTCCTGTCATGCCCCAATGCCACGACCCTTCCATACAGTTCCTCATGTGGTAGTGACCCACAACCATAAAATTATTTTCATTGCTACCTCATCACTGTAATTTTGCTACTGTTATGAATCATCATGTAAATATCTGATATGCAAGATGTATTTTAATTGTTACAAATTGAACACAATTAAAGCATAGTGATTTATCACTAAAATAATATATAATTATATATTGTAAAATATTTGTTTCTAGTTACAAATAAATGGAATTTTGTCTTGAAGCATGGTGCAGCGTGGGTAACAGTCTTTACACTGGGGCACTCATATGTGGGCATATCTGCAGGTGGGCGGACCCGGCTGGAGACCATAGAGGGGCGGTGTCTCGGTTCCTAAGACCATTGGAAACAGGTGTTTTCCAGTGGTCTTAGACACCCCTGTGAAATGGTCAGGGTCTTTCGACCCCCAAAGGGTCAGGACCACAGGTTGAGAACCAATGCCCTACACAATTATCAATCCAGTTACTGTCAATAGATCTACCAATCTTGGATTTCACATATAAAAAAGAAATCATACAATAAACAAGCAAGCAGCAAACCCGAAGGGGGAAGGGGTGCACTAACAGCACTGGGTAGACAAAACATAGAAAAATCTCAATCAAAAAGCAGAGCATATTAAAAACTCAAACAATTTAAAAATAGCTCAAAAGGGAGATCAAATTATAAGGTATTATATTTTAACCTACCTACATCTGCCACACTGCCAACAGTTAACTGTTTCTTTGCTATAATGACTAACAAAAGTATGAACTGGGGAAAAATAAGTGAGAAAAAAAACCTTATTTGTGTGCTTATATATTATTATATCTAGTAAGCTTGCCTTAAAATGTATACATATGTATTCATTTTACAGAAATATATCTTTCCTAGCATTTGAAATTCTTTGTATAGCTATCTCATAGCACCCAAGAAAACTGAACCTCCCCCCTCCCCCCAAAAAACAACTCAGACAGACAATGTGTTGCCTACAATTTAGACCATAAAACCACAGGGCACAGATCTAACTGGAGCAACATCAAATTCCAAAGAAACCTGACAAACAATACTAACAGTTCAAAGAGCCTTTATTAAACGTTATACACTGGAATAAAGACAAGTTCAGTTGGCGAACATATCTGAAAACAAATCCTTGTGTGCGCCCCCCCCCCACATTTAAAACCTACATTTCAAGGTAAGATGAGATAGTATTTATAATATCTACTAAAGTAAAGCCCACGGAACCCAAAATGTCAAATGGAAACCTGTCAGAAGAGAAAAATCAAGATATTTCCCACTAATAATTTAGAAAAGCACGAAGACTTGGAAGGCCGTCTCATCAAGGCCCGACTGTCACAGGTTTCACTGCAGTACGTAGTAAGCAACAGGCACGTGGGAAAGGCACTGTTTTCTCCCTCCACAAAAGCTACCGCTGAAGACCACTATCAATCTGGATTACTGATTCAGAAAAGTACAGAAGCTGATCTTCAGCGGTGAGTAGGGTTGAGAGAAGGGAAGGGATTTCTAAAGAGGTGTACAGTGTGGATATAGTCAAAGAATTTGTCAGCATCTTTTTCTATGCCTTCTTAAGTATAAAGGATTCAAGACCTCTCAAATTCAGTCATCACAGATGGAAAAGTCTTCTAGGTTATCCTAAAGTTACCTTAGCTTTAAGTAACTTTTTAAATCTCTTCAAAAAACTCTATTATTCTTTAAGATCATTCGATCTTAAGAATGCTCAGCCCAGAATCTTGGTATCTGCTTATCAGAATCACTAAAAATATTGTCAAAAATGGAGATTGCTGGACCACATCTTCAGAAATCCTCACCTTCTTCTCACAAGATCCTTACACGCTCTATAGTCTGAGAACCCCTGAAGAGGAACTATTCTTCTCCCAACTCAGCATTTCAATTAACAGAGGTGGCAAAGTAATGAGTAACTTCCTCTTTCCCCATCAAGCCCAAATATTCTAGAAGAACTGACAGTAATTATCAAGTAATTCACTGAAGAGGTTCCACAACGAATCAGAACATAATGAAGACAGTTCCAGCCTCACAAGCATATATGTTACTATTGTTAGGAATAAATAACTCCCCTGGTGAGCTTGGGGCGCAAAACCTGTTTTAAATTCTATAGCTTCCAACTGGTCCATTCTGGATTTTTGTCCTTCCCGCTCACACTGAAAATAACAAGATCTCCAAGTGATACTTACAAATCCATATTTACAGACCTCCCAAGGGATCTTGGGGGTGGGGGATATAGGATCTGATTGCCTATAAGGGGGCTTCAATAAGTTCATGGAAAAATTCCCATATTTTTTCATTCTGTTTTTCCACAAAATTTCAAGTCACCTCATATATCCGGGGTGGAAATGCAAATCTCACCAGCAGGTCCAGTAAGAATAAACCCAATGGAAGCCCTGAAAAATTCCAAATCCCCTTAAATAAAATACCTTTAGTGACAATATATATATAACTCAGGAAACTGTCGCAAGTTCAGCTGATCTAAAACGCTGTCTTCTTCCAGTGCCCAGCCCACCAAAATTAAGTTTTCTTTCTAAATCCCTAAATTTACGTCAATGATCTCATCATTCCCCTCTTTGGAGTCCAGTGGACCAGAAAACCAGGGTCGCATCCACACTTTCACCTTTGCCTTTCATATTCACTTAGTTGTCACCTAACAAAATTCTTCCCTGCCGCTCCAAACTGCGCAAGTCCTTCCATTTCTCATTCAAAATACTGCTTAAAAGTTGCTGCTTAATCAATAAGCTATGACTATGCAAGCAATACATTTATGAACACAAAAGATTCCAGAGTCATCAAAATTGATTTTTTTCTACTCTCCTGACGCTTACAGATATCTCGGAGATTAAGGGGTCCATAAACTAAGCAATTAAAATGTAACGTGAAAAGAGTCCTTACACGTTCTAACTCAGACCGGAGAATAAAAAGGCTCTTCTTAAAACACAGCCTAAGTGCGAGTTCCCCGAAAACTCCAAGTACCTCATAATTCCTATGGTTATTATTATTCAGTTATGACTAGCTGTCTTGCTTTGCCCTTCATTAGTTTTATGTGTTGATGTACTGTCTCCAAAAATAGATGCTACATTACCTGGAGGTAGACAACGTAACGGATTTATCTATTCCTACTGCATACGGCACAATCAATACTTGTCAATGGACTGAATGAATTGGGAGGCCAGTAAAGAAAATACTTTTAAATCACCGAAGCTGAGACTCCTACACAAGTCACAAGGGCAGAGACTGAACCTGGATTTCAGAAAAGCACACCGTTTCTTTGCAAAGGCCACGGAGGTCTCCCATACGCTGCCTACGAACTGCTTAAGACGGGGTACGACCAAGGGGAAGAGAAGGCCCCCCCCCCGATAAAAACAAAAGGTTTCTTCCAATCTGGCCCCCAAACCGCGCGGACGCCCCTGCTGCCCACCAGTCCCGGGGGGAGGACCACGAAGGTCAAGCAGCGCTACTTCCCCCGCCCCCACCCCCGCCCCCGTAAGCCAGCACACCAGGAGCTACAGGCGAGGGGCACCGCACGGGGTCTGAGGGAACTTCCTCCTCCTCCTCCCACAGCCCACCTGCTTGGCCAGGAACCTGCTCAGCTCGCTGCGGCTCTTGTCGTTTTTAGCAGCAATTAGTTGCAGCGGCGCGGACAACTCCAGCGTGAGATGCTCCATGGCCCCCGGGTCTCCGTGCCGGTCGTCCTCCAGGGCTCCCAGCCTCCCGCTCTGCGCCGCCACGCCGCCGACAGCTCAGTGCCCCAACTGCCACCGAGGGCGCCCCAGGAAAGCGGCCGCCGCTGCTCGGCACACACGGGCGAGCGAGCGAGCGTGCGGGCGGGCGCGCACGTGGGGAAGCGCTGGGCTCTCTGCGTCATCAAACCGCGACGCAGCGGCCCAGGCCCCGCCCCAGCGGCGGCGCCGGAAGCGCTGGGCGTCACTAGCGCGACGATTCCGGAAGGGGAATTAAAGCAAAAATGGCAGTAGCAGTGCCGGTTGGTCTGTGCGGTGATGCGGCTCTCAGAGACCCGGCTAACACGTGGCAAGACAGCGAGACCGATTATTCTGCTACGGTAGAGACACTTTCCTCTAGAGGCGTGGGGTCCTCCGGCAACAAAGGCTCCCCTGGACCTTACACTCAAAGGATCAAAGGTGAAGGGAAAGCCCGCTTTAACCCAGTGCCATTCCTAAAATGCTAACCGACGGAAATTAGCACTTAATGTGACAAGGACGCCCCTGGCAGCATGCTTAATATAAATACATGAAACAAATATTTATCAGTTGTGGATTATTTAAATGAAGTGTGTTATATAAGAATGAACACTTCCAGCACCTACCAACTTCTTGAAGCTTCTCAATTTTTATTTCCACGATTCCTGGATCTTTATGCCAATGCCTTCATTATAACTTGGTTTTCTTCCTTCAGTTCCATCGTTTCTTGATCACAGGCTGCCTTCCAGAGTCGTTGAACATTGACCAATTCTTGGTACAGTGACTCCTTGTATTGCTTTCAACTTTTGGTTTGTTTGTTCATTTGTTCATGCTTCACAGTTAGCACAGTGAAAAAAGATTGTGCATGTGTTATATTGAGCCACAGAACTGGACCAGAATGTTATAAATCCAGGGCAAACGATAAAAGGGACTGATTTGGGATAAGCAAGGCGGGCCTCTCAGGTGTTCACAGAGGTGGAATGCAAATGGAAGGTCTAGATCCATTGAGAGAAATTCTAGTCAGTGGCATACAGACAACAACTTGTACCAGCATCCCAGCCTCGCTATTTGGGGCTTCAGTCTGCCCATTCGCTTCCTCCTCTTAGCTCTCATGGTTTAAAGGCTGTAACAAGCATGCACCAAGACAGAAAGAGCAGCCTGTCTTCTTTGATGCTTCAACATTATGCAATAGTTTGCACCTAGAATCCTTTATCATTGCAATTCAAGGCTTGAACTTTGTCTTCAGTTCTTTTTTTGTTTTTGTTTTTTGGTGACCCAAGTGAATTTATAGAGAATAGAAGCAGCACAAGTGCATGGGACAGCCTGGCCATTCCAGGACCACAGCCCGGCCATGCTGCAAAACCTCTGGCTTTTCAGGGTCCCTTGTGAGGCGTGGTCGACAATACTGGTCAACCCCATTGGCCAATCCAGGTGTAACAACCACCTAGGTGTACCATCCCTTCCTGGCCAGGAGCTCCTGTCTTCAGTTCTTTCAGCTTGACAAATACTGAGCATGTTTTCTAACTCTAGGCCTTTGTACTTTTCATTAGACTACCTTGTCTTCTCAGACCACCCTTCAAAATCTTCTGTTAAACTCTTTTATTTCATCATTTCCCATTCAGTTTAACTATTATATGTTCAAGAGTAAATCTCAAAGTCCCTTCTGACATCCATTTTGTCTTTTCTTTTTAATGACCCTTTGCATTCTTTATGTGTGATGTTCTTGATGTCATCCCACAGTTTATCTGGCCTTCAGTCATTAGTGTTCATTACTAATTTATTTCCTTAGGAATAAACTCTGGCATGTCTGAACTGGAACCTTAGTAACAATACTTTTTTATTTAACATCATGTATATGCAAAAACTTAAACAACTGTGCACTTACGAGTTGTGCCATTTGTGTAAAGTATACCTATGAAAAGCTCTTTAGGAAAAAAATGAGCTGATACCAAGGGCTCAGGTAGAAAGCAAATGTTTTGAGAATGATGATGGCAACAAATGTACAAATGTGATTGACACAATGAGTGTATGTATGGGTTGTGATAAGAGTTGTACGAGCTCCCAATAAAATGATTTTTTAAAAAGAGTGGGGAAAAATAAACAAAAGTGCTGTAAATCTTTCTGTACTGACATAGACAAATCTTCAAAATATATTACTCAAGTAAAAGCTGGCACTCTAATGTCCAATACATTACTGTATAAGCTAATACATTTAATTTTTTTTAAACAATATGATTGAGATCGAATATTTGTCTTAGTGTTTGAATGTTTGCTTTCACACTAGATAAAGAAAGACCCTCACCCAAGTAATTATCATTAAAGAGCACTGAGGGCTAAGAGAAATTCTTAAGTACCAGAAGTAGAGAGGAGATTACAGACAAAAGAAGGATAAAACATCAGATTGATGTTAAACTTCTTAACATTGGAAATCAAAAGTCTGTGGAGAAATTATTTCTAATCTAGAGTTACCTGCTAGATATGAATCTACTGCAACATTTCATAAGACACAAAAGGTCTCCAAACATGTGGTTGTGTTGTTACCATGCATTCTTTCTCAGGAATCGATTGAAAGAGGAGCTCTCTCTATAAAAGGTGGAAACCAAGAAAGAGAAGACACAACATCTGGGAAAATGAGGGATTTAGCACAGAAAGAAAAAGATAAGGCAAATCCTCACAATGACTGTTAGGAGAGACAATAAACCCTTACAGCAGGAGAATATTAACTACTGTGGGTGACTGAATTAATTGATTGCTAGTGTGCTTAAATGTACAGAGAAGAAGAAGTAGTGTGTATGGTTTATAAGCAAGCAAAAGTAAAGGAAGAAAGAAACTATTTCAAGGGAAATAGAAAATTACATAAACAGGAAATGTAAATAAAACTTTTTAAAAGTTCTAAAATTTATTGTGGTGATGATTGTACAGCTCTTCTTGATATGATTAAACTGTGGAGTTGTATGATATGTGGATTATGTGCCAATAAAACAGTTTGTTTTTTAATTGTAGATGCTATCAATTTGCTTACAACAGAACAAACTGTTGCCTAGCCCTCTGTCATCCTCACAAGGGTTTCTGTTTGAAACCATAGATGCAATTATTGAGTCAGTCCATCTCATTGAGGATCTTTCTCTTTTACTTTTATATATATATATATATCATTGTAAACCTTTGCACTCAGTTATCCAATAGAAACCAATTCCCTTCCCTAGCCCATCTCCCTGTGACTTCAGCCAAAGACTAACCAAATAACTGTGATAATTGGGCTGCTCCCTGGAGCATACATATATCTTTGTTAGAAGTTCTGCCATTGGGGTAATCAGTTCTCACTCCTAGAAGCTGGTTCCTTTCTTCTTCTTTTTTTGAAAAGTTTTGTTCATCCACATATCATGCAGTTCGACGGTTTGACCGTGTCAAGAAGAGTTGTACATTCTTTATCACAATCAATTTTAGAACCTTTTCTTTTTCTCTGTACTCGTTGTTATTCATGTGGGGTTTTTTTTCAATTTTGGCAAAAATACACAATAAATCAATCATTCACCAACTCAACAAAAAACAAGAAATGTAATCAGACTACTGCATATTCATAAAAGTATAAAACAAAAATTCCTCATGATTTTGGAGCTAAGCAATCGTTTCACATAGAATTTCAGAATCACACTCTTCAAAAGAATAATTTGACATCACCAAAATTCAAAGCCTGCACTTCAAAAAACACTTGAGTTAGTTAATTGTGCCAGCCTGGCTGATAATCACATGTGGGGCTGGTTGAAAGGCGGAGGGGTAAATGGGTGGTGAAGCCTCGCCTTTCTAGTTCTCGGGTCTCTTGTTTTGTGATGGTTGCATCGGGTGCAGCTGCCTTAGCAGTTCCCTGCTTCAGCTTGCAAGATGGATTTCCTACAAGACATCCCCAAGGAGAAGCCGCATGGATCTATCCCGATGCAGCCCTGGGTGCTGGAGCAGCCATGTGGAGACCCCTGCCAGTGCTGAGATGCTTACACGTTCACTGACTCAGCTTTCCTCCTGCAGTCGGCATTATTGCCTCTGTTTTGTGAGGTGAAGGACTTTGTGGACTGGTGTTGGGTTAATGGGTTAATGTTGGACTTGTGGGCTTGGGCAGCATTGGGTTGGGATGTTTTCATGATGCACATTTTCTTTGCATAAAACTCTCTCTTATACGTGAGTTGCTGTGGATTTGTTTCTCCAAAATACCTAGACTAATACAACACTCTACAAAAATTTGAAGCCCAGTACCAAAGAAATAGGAGCCCTAATACAAAAAAAAAAAAAAAAACCCTCACTGACATCACACTGATTCTCAGTCTGTAGGAAACCCTGTAGGGCAGAGAATTACTCCTGTGGGTTTCTAAGGTTATAAATCCGTACAAGAGGAGAAAGTCTCACCTTTCTCTCACAAAGAAACTGGATCCAAACTGCTAACTACGCAGTTAGCAGCCCGAAACATAACCCACTATGCTACCAGGGCTTCTTAGAGACTTGACACCTGGCATAAATACACTATCAGATGTATTAAAAACGCACAAACAGTAGAAGACAAATTAGATGACTTAGACCTCCTAAAATATTGATCATTTCGGCATGTGTGCTTGACACATTAGAGGAATGTATGGATTGTGATGAGATGTAAGAGCTCCCAATAAAAGTATTTTTTAATTGATCATTTATGTACTTTAAAAGAGATCCTACAGCCAAGTTTTTCTAAAACGCAAACAGAAACAGACTACAGATTGTGAAATAAATTTTGGCAACAACGTATCAGACAAGGGACTAATTTCTAAAATGCATATAAAACACCAACATGTTTTTTAATCCAATTTTAAAATGGGCCAGAATATGACTAGACCCTTCACCAGAGAAGACATGCAGGCAGCCAACAAACATGAAGAAATGCTCATGATCATTAGCCATCAGAGAGATGCAATTCAAAACAACAATGAGATATCATCCCACTC